ATGTGCTAAAAACTTATGGTATTAAAGTATTCTATAAGAAAACATACTTTGTACTTCTGTAAAAAGTTACAATCTTTTAAATACAGAAACTAAGAAAGTATAAATTTCTGTTTCTCTCCTCACTGAATGTAATACTTTTGAACACCAGTAAATTTCTAGAACATTAAAAGGCCCATTGCCATATACATAGGGGTGCCCTCAGTGCTACTTAATATTATCTTTTTTTTTTTTTTGAGACGGAGTTTCGCTCTTGTTACCCAGGCTGGAGTGCAATGGCACGATCTCCGCTCACTGCAACCTCCGCCTCCAGGGTTCAGGCAATTCTCCAGCCTCAGCCTCCTGAGTAGCTGGGATTACAGGCACACGCCACCATGACCAGCTAATTTTTTGTATTTTTAGTAGAGACAGGATTTCACCATGTTGACCAGGATGGTCTCGATCTCTTGACCTCGTGATCCACCCACCTTGGCCTCCCAAAGTGCTGGGATTACAGGTGTGAGCCACCACACCCAGCCAATATTATCTTTTAAAAAAAATATTCTACCGGGCTGGGCGCGGTGGCTCACACCTGTAATCACATACACACACACACACACACACACACACATGTACGTACGTAACATCTGATAGGTGAAAGTAGTTCAGAAGGCTGATATACTCATTTTTTTTGATACATAATAATAAAAGTACAATACTTTACAGATACATAGAATTCAATTTCTAGAATCATTCTAGTAATCCTTTGGAATTTATGTTTCTTTTGTTATTTCTTTGTTATTTTGGAACCCTTTTTTGTTTCAAATAATTCATTTGTCATTATCTTCTAGTTCTAGGAACTAGGCTTTTCTAGTTCTAGTGCAATCTATTGAAAGCAAAATATTTTTCTTCTTTTCTAGCCTCTTTTACTCAGATCAGTCATTAACTTCCATGTTATTATTTAACTATAATGCTTTTTCTATTTTTAAACAGAACAATGACAAAAGTGAATTTCTATCAACAGCACCTCGTAGTCTAAGAAAAAGATTAATAGGTACGTATTTCTTTTTACATGATGTTTTTATAAAAAGTAACATCTAAACAAGAGACAATAATAGTTAAGTATATACATTCTAGATTTAGAATGCTTGGGTTTTTCAATCTTTGGCTTTTAGCTGTAACACTTAGCACCATGTCTTTCACATTATAGTCAGTGTATATTGAAGTCAGCTAAAAGGGTCTTTCCAATGAAATAACATGCCTTTTATTTGTTTTGAGATAGTTTGGAAATGATTCTATTGGAAATTTTATAATGAAATAATATTATAATAAAATTTCTTTGGAAATTTTATAATGAAATAATATTAAACAATCATAGTTGTAGTGAGTGTTAAACAATAGCAAGTAAACAGACATGGCTCCTGCTTCCTACGAAATTAAAAATGGCTTCAGATTTTTGAACATTTAACTTTGGGGCAAATGACTAGACCTTTATATATCAGAAAGATGTCAACTTCTTTCATACTGTTGACTCTTGACAATAATAGTATTAGCCAACATTGTTAAATTCAGCTGAACATCAGGGCTTCATACTTCATAGCCCTTTGTTTTCAAGGTATTAATTTCATAGAGTTGTTAAAACTGTATTTTTAATCATCATAAAAATGGTAATGCTAAATGATTTAGTATATTAAAGCAGTAAAAGATCTGTATAGTTGTGAATGTTATTTCATATCAACTATATCCTATGTCTTACGTTTTTTCCTCATCCCAAAGATGAGTTGTTTTTTAGACAGAAGGTGAACTTCCCTCTTCCTTCTTAATCACTGAAAAACATATATACCTACATGGAGGAAGCATATGTGTAAATAAGGTAGAGACATTTTCTGGTACCTGCTACCACTTCTAAGCTGTGCATATATCGTGAGCAGCAGTCAGTGTGCATCTGAATCTGCTAAGCTGTATATGCCCACAAAATCAAGCCTTTTTATTTTCTTTTTTTAATATCTGTATTTGTTATATGCTGACTTGGGATAATCCTCTGCAGTATTTCTATTGTTCAAAATGAATACACTGATTTATTTAAAGTTTTTTCACTCATATTTTGGGAGTTCACTTTAAAAAATAGTTTTATGCCTGTTGAGTGTAAAACTAGCTGTATTATTTCTGGGGAGTTGTGGGGGTGAGGTTGTGATTTGTTGAAAAAGATAATTCTTGAATCAACTCTGGGATGGTGTGTGTGTATGTATTAGTAATAATTATAATCATAACTACCATTTATTGAGTGCTATATTAGGATGATGTTTTCGGTAGGCAGCAACAGATAAATCTATAATGGTAGTTTAAGCCATAGACATTTAATTATTTCACATCAAAACCAGTATAGAGTTGCAAGTTCCATGGTTGATGTGACTTAACGTATCATTAAGGACCCAGATTCTTCCTTTTTATTTTGCCACTAGCATTTTTCATCTTTAGGTTTGATACTTTATATTGCAAAATGGTTTTCATAGCTTTAAATGATGGATATAAATAGGGGCTTTTCTTCTGTGAGGAAAATCTTTCCTAGAAGCTGCCAGCAATTTTCCTTCAGTTCATTGGTCAAGGGGTCATATATAGTCAACCATGGTTGGAGCAGAGGCTGGGAAAGCAGGTATCTAGTAGAGGGAAAAGGCAGTTACCATGATTCATCCCCTAGGGTGGGTCATATTGCCATATCTTACAAAATTGGAGTTCTGTTAGCAAGGAAGAGGGAAGGAGAACAGTGTTAGGTATGATTAACCCTTTTTAATCACAGTTCCTGTGTGTCAGGCATTATTAGTTGCTTTATATACATTTCAGTGTAATCTTCACAATGGTTTATTAAACTCTGTACAATTAATTTGATAAATAAATGAACTGGTGCTGAGAAAATGTATTAATTAGCTCTGGTGAAATCATGAGCCAATAATGACAAAACCAGAATTCAGACTCTTACTTCAGAGCCCACACTCTTTCCTTTACTCCACAGTGCCTCTCTTGTGAAACCATGAAATTGTCGAAATTGTTATTTTTTCCCCCCACAGTTCCAAGGTCTCATTCTGACAGTGAAAGCGAATATTCTGCTTCCAACTCAGAGGATGATGAAGGGGTTGCACAGGAATATGAAGAGGACACTAATGCAGTCATATTCAGCCAAAAGATTCAAGCTCAGAATAGAGTAGTTTCAGCTCCTGTTTGCAAAGAAACACCTTCTAAAAGAATGAAAAGAGATAAAACAGTAAGTGAAGAGAGAGACTTTAACCTTAAAGAAAAATTGTATAGTATCTCAAAGATAGGCTATGCGAAGAGATCCATATCTCTCAGAATAATATGTTTTCTTCACTTTTCTCTATTTTCTTAGCCTTCCACATAAATTCCCACATATATTTCTTTCTACTTCTGGGCTTTCTATTCTGGCCTATCTAATATTCATGAGTTAATACCATAGTATATGTAAATAGTATATGCTAAAAGTGATATCTCAAGTCTGTTGTATAAAAATGAACTTTTTAGGCCGGGCACGGTGGCTGACACCTATAATCCCAGCACTTTGGGAGGCGGAGGTAGGTGGATCAACTGAGATTAGGAGTTTGAGATTAGCCTGGCCAACATGGTGAAACCCTGTCCCCACTAAAAACACAAAAAATAGCCAGGCATGGTGTTATGTGGCTGTAATCCCAGCTACCCAGGAGGCTGAGGCAGGAGAATCAGTGGAACCCAGGAGGCGGAGGCTACAGTGAGCCAAGATCACGCCATTGCACTCCAGCCTGGGCAATAAGAGGGAAACTTTGTCTCAAAATAAATAAATAAATAAAATTTTCAGTATGCTATGGGATTAGAATTTTAAAAATGACAAAAAGAAAAAATGAACTTTTAAGTAAATATTGATTGGACAATTGGAGGCATGACTTCTCAGTGTATATTGTTTTTGCAATACTGTCAATGTGTTCAAGTTCGTATAATGAATGATGTCGCTAGAGACCCATGTTAAGTTGATTGGAAGAACACTGCAGGCACCTCACTTTAGAAAAATATCCTGGTCCTCTGTCTAAAGATTCAGAGCAATTGAGGAGCCTACTGCTTAAATAGCTTTCTGTCCCTTCCTTGCCCTAGAGTTTAGTCCTGCCCAAAATCAGAAGAACATATAGTGTGGGAAGAAAATTCCACTTTACCAGAACAGTAGGCCAGTTTTTTGGTTTGTTTGTGGGATTTTTTTTTTTTCTTTTGTTACCTTGCAGTTGATTTCTTCCTCAGCTACGCTAATATTAAAGGATTTGCTAAGACTATTTGAGGCCAGGCATGGTGGCTCATGCCTGTTATCCCAGCACTTTGGGAGGGCAATGTGGAAGGATTGCTTGAGGCCAGGAGTTTGAAACCAGCCTGGATAATATAAGACCCTGTCTCTGCAAAAAAAAAAAAAAAATTTTTTTAATTAGCCAGGTGTAGTGGTACATGCCTGTAGTCCCAGCTACTTGGAAGGCTGAGATGGGAGGATCCCTTGTGCCCAGGAAGTTGGGGCTACAGTGAGCCTTGTTTGCACCAGTGAGACCCTGCATCAAAAAAGAAAGAAAGAAAAAGTAAAAAGACTATCAGGAAAAGCAAAAAGCCTGATATGTAAAACCATCTCTGTTTTTTTAGTATAAATGGAAATTACATATTGTAACTCAGGAATCTGTTTTAGGAACAGACTACTACTTCACCTAGTCATTTCTTTAACTTACATGATCCTAGTAATTACTCAGTTTTATTACTGCAATTAAGTATCTTTGGTCTTTAACTGGTACTGTTGCTTTAAAAAAAATACTACCAAAGAATTTCACGTGTCCTATTTTACATTAATATTACTGTCTAATTTTGATATACGACGGATATCTGAAGCTACTAAGGACTGACTACTCTGTTCACTTTCAGAGTGACTTAGTAGAAGAATATTTTGAAGCTCACAGCAGTTCAAAAGTTTTAACCTCTGATAGAACACTGCAGAAGCTAAAGAGAGCTAAACTGGATCAGGTATGTTGCAAGGAATGTTACTTCTAAATTTTTCTTACTCTGTCCTGAAAAATATGCTACATAAGCAACAGATTTGAAAAGCACATACAAGTAGAATTATTGTCTTAATCAAATGAAATACAGTTAATGTGATTATTACTTCTTTTATTATATAAATAGTAAATAGGCTCGGCACAGGTGGCTCACACCTGTAATGTCAGCACCTTGGGAGGCCAAGGCAGGAGGATTGCATGAACCCAGGAGTTTGAGACTAGTCTGGGCAACATAGGGAGACCTTGTTGTTAGCAAAATTTAAATAAATAAATACATAATTTCCTGGATTCAACAGACTGTAATTAGGCATTTTTTCCCTCTTACTTTTTTATCATTTCTTCAGGATCTGTGATAATCATCAGGGTCATAGTTCCTTGATATCCATGTACTATTAATCTCTGTTATTCATTTAACCTAAGTATTCACTAAACCTCACACTGGTCATAAAACAGTGACTGCAATCTGACTTTCTCTCAGTTAGAAACTTTACAAAAAGCAGAGGCTATTCTACTTGAGGATATTATGGAAAACTTGCCCAGTGTGGTAAGGTAACAAGGTTACTATGTACTGTGGTTCCAGTAGTAACTCTGTCTCCAGAGAGGAGACAGAACCATCTGAATGAGAAAATCTTTGTCAGTAGTAATTGCAATTGATAATCTAAGTCTTGGCTCATCGGTAGTGAGACTCAGATCAGAGAATATAAGCAATATGGACAAATGATTCTAAACTCACAATAGGACTTCATCAGACAGAGTCAAAAAGATCTCTAGGAGGATAAAAGAAACACCTGTCAGTAAGGGAGAGGAAAGCCTTTCATTGATCATAAACATAGCATAGCTAACCAATATAATCTTCCGTAGTATGTGACAATAAGCATTTATTTTTCAGGTCTGTGTGTCAGTCAGAGGTTGGTTGATCTAGGATTTGCTCCATGTTTCTCTTCCTCATTGTACCAGCAGGCTAGCTGAGGCTTGTTATTCTCATTACTGTAGCTGAGACATAAGAGAAAAAGTGGGAAAACACACCATCTCTTAAAGCCTAGGCTCAAAACTAAATTGCCAGTTCTGCCTCATTCTAGTACAGCAAATCACATGGCTGAAAACAAAGTCAAAGGGCAGGGAACTATGTATGCTCCACCCATTTAGTGGGAGGAACTGTGAAATCACATGACAAAGGATATGGATACAAGTGGGGGATACAGGTGGTGGCTCAGGCCTATAATCCCAGCACTTTGGGAGAGCAAAGCGGGCAGATCACCTGAGGTCAGGAGTTCGAGACCAGTCTGACCAACATGGAGAAACCCCATCTCTACTAAAAATACAAAATTAACCAGGCATGATGGTGCATGCCTGTAATCTCAGCTACTCAGTAGGCTGAGGCAGGAAAATCGCTTGAACCCAGGAGGTGGAGGTTGCAGTGAGCTGAGATCATGCTGTTGCACTCCGGCCTGGGCAACAAAAGCAAAACTCCCTTTCAAAAAAAGAAAAAGAAAAAACATGTGGGACATTAGGGTTGAAAGTACAATTCTCCATGAATATTAAAGTTTGAAATGAGGCCAGGTGCAGTCGCTGACACCTGTAATCCAAGCACTTTGGGAGGCTGAGGTGGGTGGATCAGGTCAGGAGTTCGAGACTATCCTGATGAACATGGTGAAACACTGTCTCTACTGAAAATACAAAAATTAGCCGGGTGTGGTGGCACGCACCTGTAATCCCAGCTACTCAGGAGACTGAGGCAGGAGAATCAGTGAACCCAGGAGACAGAGGTTGCAGTGAGCTGAGATGGGCCCCTGCACTCTAGCCTGGGCGACAGAGTGAGACTCCATCTCAAAAAAAAAAAAGTTTGAAATGAAAGTACATATATGAGATAACATTCTAGAATTCACTCAAGTGTGAATATGCTCAGATAATCCCGTGTAAATAACTACTGGAAAAGATACTAGTACTTTCTCGGCTTTTTCAGGGCTTTGAACTTCAGAAGGGATAAGAGAGATTTTTTTTTTTAACTATTTACTTAACAATTTTATTTAAAGGTAGTCCTGTTTTGCTTTATGTGGCTAAATAAACACTATACAAGCTAGAGTACCTGGAATATTTATTGCAACACTAATCTTCAATATTTAAAGAATATTTTACTTGAAAAGTGGTGGAATCATGAAAACATGGTAGTGTTAGAGTGAAGATGCATGTGTATCTTTTTGCTGGAGTTTTCATTTCAGAAAATGATCTCCATTTGATTCACCAGCATGAATTTCCAAGTTTGGGGTACAAGGCAATCCACTTACCTTGGTTTATTTATATTATTGTTTTTTAAAATTTTCAATACTTATCAAAGATAAAGGATCTATTAGAAACAGCTTTTGGAAAGGAGTAGTGATAACATGTTTATTTTACTAATGATAATGGTAAGTAAATTATAAAGGACCTTTAATGTTTTCTGAACAAATGAAAGCCTTATTCTTGAAGTTTATAATCATTTAAATGGTTCTGGACAAAACTTACCAAATTCTTTACTGTTATTACTAAAAAGAATGTTAACAATTTTAAGAAAACAAATCATTTTTGAAGAATTTTGTTTATCAGTTGATATACCCATTGCCAAACCTGATTAAAGTAATATTTCAATTAGCTCCTTGTAAGCTCAGCTTCTAAGGAAATTGTTTGTTTGGATTGATTTGCTGTATGTGGTTTGAGAATGACTTTCCCCCCTCCTTTTTTTAAAGCAAACGTTGCGTAGCTTATTGAGCAAGGTTTCTCCTTCCTTTTCTGCCGAACTTAAACAACTAAATCAACAGTATGAAAAATTATTTCATAAATGGATGCTGCAATTACAGTAAGTATTATTACAAACTTGTAAAATAATCATATGTAATTTTACATGAATCTTTATATTAAATCAAAGTAAGTTAACATCTTTTTACAGTGAGTTTGATAATTCATATATAAAAATAAATGGAAAAATAGACATTCTCCCAATTTTATGGCTCAGATATAGAAGTATCACTTTATTGTATGACTATTTCCAGAAATTCTAGTTTTTAAGAAATTCATGTGGTTTATCAGACTTGACAGTCATGATAAGATAAATAGCATTTCTTAGAATTATGTTATTGGTTTAAAAAACTTGAATATTTAATTTGCCAAGACTAATAAATATATCAATTAGTTCTGTAAAAGTTTCTGTAGAAAAAACAAATTAAAAAAGAAAAAATTATATATATATACCAATTAGATTTTAATCCAGTTTTCCACAGCATAGTTTCTTAAATGAAAGGATAATATTTACTTTAATCTTATGTATGTGTAACTATATTTTCAGAATTTTATGAGCAGATTTGTCCTATAAACATTATTTTACTATTTTAACACTATTTCCTAGAATATTTTTTCACTTTTATTATTTTCACATACCTCAGATTAAATTTTAATTTTTCATTAAAATGCCTAGAAGAATGATTGAAATCAAAACACAGTATTTTCTTTTATGATAATTACTTTTATCCTTGCATTTAAAAAGACTTGAACATAAGGAAGTATTTAAAATGTACACCAATGTGAATATACATGCACACTCACAGTTACATTGTCACTGAAGTAAGTAAGAAGGGCCGGGCACTGTGATCCACACCTGTCATAGTATTGCTTTGGGAGGCCAAGGCAGGAGGATTGCTTGACCCCAGGGGTTTGAGGTTACAGTGAGCTATGATTGTACCACTGTCCTCCAGGTTGGGCAACAAAGCTGTCTCCCAAAAGAAAAAAGAAAAAGGTCTACCAAGCCCTTTAGAACATAGAAATTGTCCACAGTTGCCCCCAGCTCAGTTGACCCTAGACCCTGATTTTCTTTTGCCAATAATATGTCTAAGAGTTACGCTAGGAAGGGGCCGGGCACAGTGGCTCACACCTGTAATCCCAGCACTTTGGGAGGCCGAGGCAGTTAGATTACCTGACATCAGGAGTTCAAGACCAGCCTGGCCAACATGGTGAAACCCCATCTCTACTACAAATACAAAAATTAGGCATGGTGGTGTCACATGCCTGTAATCCTGCCTACCCAGGAGGCTGAGGCAGGAGAATCACTTGAACCCAGGAGGTGTAGGTTGCAGTGAGCTGAGATTGCACCATTGCATTCCAGCCTGGGCAACACTCTGTCTCAAAAAAAAAAGTTATGCTAGGAAGGGAATGGTAAACTTGCCTGCAAGAACCTCAGCTTCTCTCAATAACTATTTATAGATCTATGCATTATAAATCTGTAGTTACTCTTCACTCTAATCCCATCCCCAGCCCATCATTTTTTTTCTCCCAGTGTGTCAACTCAGATAACTGAATTTGCTTTGCTTCTCAGACCATATCTTAGCATCAGCAAGATCATTGGAATTGCTAGCTCACTGATCCTTGCCTCTTTATTTCTGCTACTTCTGCCTTGGTAATCTCTACCTTTGGAGGTTACTTCTTTTCTGTTCTTCCATTTCTAGGTTATCCTGCATTGCCAGAGAGCATCACATACTATTTCTGCTTGACCTTTGTAAACAATCATGGAGTTGGACTTTAGCTTCACCTCTGGCACTTGGTGTTCTGGGTGGTCTCATTCACTCTCCTGGCTTCAGTTGGTTTCTGTATATGAATGACTCATGTAACTGTTACCTCCAACCCATACCTTACTCTCAGTAGCAGACCAGGATATCTGAATGTATATTAAAAGTTTCTACTTGGGGCTGGGCATGGTGGCTCACACCTGTAATCCCAGCACTTTGGGAGGCTGAGGCGAGTAAATTATGAGGTCAGGAGTTCGAGACCAGCCTGGCCAAGATGGTGAAACCCAGTCTCTACTAAAAATACAGAAAATTACCTGGGTGGGGTGGTGGGCACCTATAATCCCAGCTACTCGGAAGGCTGAGGCAAGAGAATCATATGAACCCAGGAAGCGGAGGTTACAGTTAACTGAAATCGCACCACTGCACTCTAGCCTGGGCAAAAGAGCAAGACTCCATACAAAAAAAAAAAAAAAAGAAGTTTCTACTTGGATGTCCTGTAAATAATTCAAGATGCATAAAATTAAACTCCTCTTAAGCCCATTGTTCCCACCTTTCCCTGCTATCCAGCAGAGTGAATGAGTGGATGTTAGTCATTCCATTTGTGTAGTTGTCTATCTGGCAGAAAACAGTCTTTTTTTTTTTTTTAAAGAGGCAAGAATCTCACTCTGGCGCCCAGAAGGGTGTGAACACAGATCAAGGTAGCCTCGATCTTCTGGGCTCAAGCGATCCACCTCAGCCTCTCAAGTGGCTGGGTCTGTATATGTATGCTGCCATGCCTGGGCTAACTTTTTTTTTTTAATTTTGTAGAGATGAGGTCTCAACATCTTGCCTAGGCTAGTCTCAAACTCCTGGGCACAAACAGTTCTCTTTCCTTGGCTTCCCAAACTGCTGGGATTATAGGCGTGAGCCACCGTACCCAGCCCCGAGTCATTCTTAAGTATTCTTTTCCTCACTCTCCACATCTAATCAGTTTCCAAATTTTACTTGTTTGACTTCTTATATAGTTCTTGACATGTTACATTTTTCCCTATGACAACTAAGTTCATCTTCCACAGTTTTGTTCCTTCCTATTCATTTTCTAAACATAGCCAATATGATCTTTATGAGAAGAAGATGTTACTTTCCTACTTAAAACCTTTCTGTTAATCCCTCATTAGTTACTTTTAAATGTTCATTTTTGGCCAGGCATGGTGGCTCACACCTGTAATTCCAGCACTTTGGGAAGCCAAGATGGGTGGATCACCTGAGGTTAAGAGTTTGAGACCAACGTAGTGAAATCCCATCTCTACTAATAATACAAAATTAGTTGGGCTTGGTGATGCATGCCTGTAATCCCAGCTACTTAGGAGGCTGAGGCAGGAGAATTGCTTGAAACTAGAAAGTGGAGGTGAGTAGGGAGGCCTGGGTAACAGAGCAAGACTCTGTCTCAAAATAAATAAGCACTTTGGGAGGTCGAGGCAGGCAGATCGCTTGAGGCCAGGAGTTTCAGACCAGCCTGGCCAACATGGTGAAACCCTGTCTCTACTAAAAATATAAAAAATTAGCTGGGCGTGGTGATGGGCAGCTGTAATCCCAGCTACTTAGGAGACTGAGGCAGGAGAATCGCTTGAACATGGGAGGCAGAGGTTGTAGTGAGCTATGATGGTGCCACTGCACTCCAGCCTAGGCGACAACACAAAACTCCATCTTGAAAAAATAGATATTATTAATTAATTTTTTTTTAACAGACATTGTCTTGCTCTGTTGCCCAGGCTGGAGTGCAGTGGCACCGTAATAGCTCACTGCAGCCTCAAAATCCTTGGCTTAAGTGATCCTCCCAGCTCAACCTCCTGAGTAGCTGGAATGATAGGTACCCACCACTACACCCAGATAATTTTAAAATTATTATTTTTTAAATAAAAGTATTTTTGGCTAGAAGTGGTGGCTCACACCTGTAGTCCCAGCAATTTGGGAGGCCAAGGTGGGTGGATTACTTGAGCCCAGGAGTTCAAGGCCAGCCTGGGCAACATGGCAAAAGCCCATCTCTACTAAAAATACAAAAATTAGCCAGGTGTGGTGGCACATATCTGTAGCCCCAGCTTCTTGGGAGACTGAGGCAGGAGAATTGCTTGAACCTGGGAAGCTGAGATTGCAGTGAGCTAAGAGAGCCACTGGACTCCAGTCTGGGTGACAGAGTAATACTCTGTCTCAAAAAAAAAAAAAAAAAAAAAAAAATATATATATATATATATATAAAACTGTTTTGCCTTTGCCTTCCCAAAATGCTGGGATTATAGGCTTGAGCCAGTGTGCCTACCCCTTTCCTGTACTTTTTATAAACTTAATTTAAGGAAACTGGTTGATAATAAGCTTGGCAATAAGAATTATTGTACTTTAATTTCATGAATACTGTCTTTCCTAACAGCCTTGGGTTCAACATTGTGCTTTATGGTTTGGGTTCTAAGAGAGATTTACTAGAAAGGTTTCGAACCACTATGCTGCAAGATTCCATTCACGTTGTCATCAATGGCTTCTTTCCTGGAATCAGTGTGAAATCAGTAAGTTTCAAAAATGTTAAAGGAAAAAAACATTATATCCTCTGCCAATTCATGCCCCCACATAAATGAGGATGCCATATCTCATTCTGGAGTATTAAATTTAAAGAATTTTTGTTTTCGCCTTCACAGTGGTAGGATTGTATAGTGCTTAATACTATGTGTTTGGAAACAGAAGAATCTAGCTTTGAAACCATCTTTGAATGTCCTGCCTTGTAACTAACATGTATTAAAACTTAGGAAACTGTTAGCTTTGTTTACTACACTGAGTATCAGTGGTAGGAGGGAATTATGGGGTCTTCAGTTTTGTCATAAAATATGAAAATGCTTTATTAGGCAAAAACTACATACTATGAAAATGCTTTAAAATGCAATAGGATGGGATGTGAAGGCTATAGTTTTATAATACTTTTATCATAGATCATTTTTATTTCAAATGCTTAATATCTCTTCATCATTTGAACATTAAAGCTGTTGGCTGTTGGGTACTGGATACTAAGCCATGTAGTATTCCTTTTTTAAAGTGTCTGTAGTGTTTGTCTTGTATCCTTTGATAGAACTGTATTTTTCTAATGTTTCTTATGTTCTTGGGAGCTTTTTCATTTGTTTTTGCTGCCCTCTTATATTATCTATTTCCTTTACATCTTTGCTGTTCTTTTTCTGTTTTCTTTTAGCCACAAGTTAGGCCAAAAACAATGAACTAGATATACTCAAGTCCAGTAGAATTTTTAGAAGTGATTTTTCAAACTTTTGGAAAATTCAAATTCATTTTTAATTTATTAAAAAACGGTTTGATTTTCTAGTTGTATTTGTCCCATATGACAATAAACTGTAATTAATGTGGTACCTCTTGCACATTCATGATATAGGTCCTGAATTCTATAACAGAAGAAGTCCTCGATCATATGGGTACTTTCCGCAGTATACTGGATCAGCTAGACTGGATAGTAAACAAATTTAAAGAAGGTAACATGAAGTGATGCCCTGTAGTTTTAGATGAGAGTTAAGCATATATTTCTACTTTTTCATGTATTTATATACATACAGTATTATTTTTTTTTTTTGAGGGGGAGGTTTTTTGAGACAGTCTCTCTATTGCCCAGGAGTGCAGCGATGCAGTCATGGCTCACTGCAGCCTTGACCTCCCCGGCTCAAGCAGTTCTCCCACCTCAGCCTCCTAGGTAGCTGCGATCACAGGTGTGTGCTACCATGCCTGTGATTTTTTGTTATTTGTAGAGATGAGGTCTTGCTATGTTGCCCAGGGTGGTCTCGAACTTTTGGGCTCAAGCAGTTCTCCTGCCTTGGTCTCCCAAAGGGCTGAGACTATAGGTGTGAGCCACCACACCCAGCCCAAAAAGATTATTTTAATGATGGCACTTACCTCAGTGCTCTGAAATAATTTTCCTTTTGCTATGAACTTTTTCTGTGAATGTAACTAATAGGAAAGAAAAAAGTTAGTCTCATTTTCTTCAATTTGTATATCCAAAAGCCCCTTATTTCAGAATAAATTTCTAAGTTATGTTTTACTTATGTAAAGTGCCTCCATTTGAGTGGTACCTCTTTGTCTGATATTTTTGTATTGTTTAATGTTTTTATAAAACGTTATTTCTTGGCTGGGCACAATCTTGGCACTTTGAGAGGCGAAGGTGGGTAGATCTACTGAGGTCAGGAGTTTGAGACCAGCCTGGCCAATATGGTGAGACCCCATCACTACAAAAATGCAAAAGAATTAGTCAGGCTTGGTGGCACATACCTGTAGTCCCAGCTACTTGGGAGGCTGAGGCAGGAGAATCACTTGAGCCCGGGAGGCAGGGGTTGCAGTAAGCCAAGATTGTACCACTGCACTCCAGCCTGGGCAATAGAGCGAGACTCCATCTAAAAATAAATAAATAAATAAATAATTTCTTTATTCTGTTTACATATCACTACATTAGGATAATTTTATATATACTAAGATCTCTGGTTCTTTTTTTGTGAATGTTTTGGTTACGTGAGTATGTCAAAAAATTGGAAATAGTATTATATAGTCTCTACAGTTAATTGCTATTTTGTAATGACTGAATTAAGAATTAGGAGAAGTAATTGAGAATGCCTAACTGCTTTGATGGATAATTTTATTGATAATGACAATAATCCTAGCTCTATTTCCATAGTACTTTTTTTTTTTTTTTTGAGACGGAGTTTCGCTTTTGTTACCCAGGCTGGAGTGCAATGGTGCGACCTCGGCTCATCGCAACCTCCGCCTCCTGGGTTCAGGCAATTCTCCTGCCTCTGCCTCCTGAGTAGCTGGGATTACAGGCACGTACCACCATGCCCAGCTAATTTTTGTATTTTTAGTAGAGACGGGGTTTCACCATGTTGACCAGGATGGTCTTGATCTCTTGACCTCGTGATCCACCCGCCTCGGCCTCCCAAAGTGCTGGGATCACAGGCATGAGCCACCGCACCTGGCCTTCCATAGTACTTTTACCTTGTCAATATTCTAGCGTATTCTTTAGTTTTCTCTTCATTTTGTTTAACCTGAAAAGCTTTCTGTCCCAAATTTCCCTTCACACTTCTACACCCATTTTATCTACAGTCCTCTATAGAAATGGACAGTATACTTTTTTGGGTTTTTTTTTGAGACTTGCTCTGTCACTCGGCTAGAGTCTAGTGGCAAAACATGGCCCACTACATCCTTAACCTTCTGGGCCCAAGTGATCCTTCCAACTCAGCCTCTCCATTAGCTGGGACTATAGGCACACACCACCTACCTGGCTATTGTTAAAATCTTTTGTAGAGATGGAGTCTCACTATGTTGCCCAGGCTGGTTTCAAACTCCTAGGCCTCAAGGGATCCTTCTGCCTGGGCCTTCTAAAGTACTGGGATTACAAGCATGAGCCCAGCCTGACAATGTACATTTTTATACCAACCCTACACATTTGAAAACAGGTAGACTTGATTCTTATTATTCACAAATTCTCTAATAGCAAATTTACCTGCTCGCTAACATTTATTTGTAGTCCCAAAATCAATATTCTTGGCACTTTTGCAAAGGGAGACATGCACAGAGTGGCAAAAAGTTCGCATTGCCCAGTGTACACATTCTAAGCAGAGGTCAAACAAGGTAATGCTCTGCCTTGTTTCAACTCTCATACTATAAGCAAGTGTCCTTTTCACAATCTGTTCAGTGCTCTGTTTTTCACATTTTTCTGCTTTTATGTTACTGATTTGGCTGTTTAAAATGGCCCATAAGCATAGTGTTAAAATACTGTCTAGTGTTCCCAAGCACAAGAAGGCTGTGATGTGCCTTGGGAGAAAAAGATATAAACTTTCTTCGGTTATGAGTTAGTGTTCTTGACTGTGCGTTCTGTGTTAATGGATCAACAGTGTATATTAAAAATAAAGTTGCCTTTAGGCTGGGTGCCGTGGCTCACACCTGTAATACCAGCACTTTGGGAGGCCAAGGCGGGCACATCACTTGAGGTTAGGAGTTCAAGACCAGCCTGGGCAACATGGTGAAACCCCATCTCTACTAAAAATACAAAAAATTAGCCAGTCCTGGTGGTGCACATCTGTAATTCCAGCTAGTCGGGAGGCTGAGGCGGGAGAATCACTTGAACTTGGGAGTTGGAGGTTGCAGTGAGCCAATATCACACCACTCACTCTAGCCTGGCCAACAGAGTGAGACTCTGTCTCCAAAAGAAATAAATAAATAAAAATAAAATTGCTTTTAAACAGAAGCACACATAAAACAAAGTTATATATTGAACCTAACCCTGTATTTCCTTTGGGAACAAGTGGTTCAGTATTCAATAATTCAGGATTTGGAGCAGCATTACAGAACTTAATATAATGAGAGTCAAGTATATATATTTCTCAGAACCCTAAAACTACTGCATATGTGAACATTTCTCATCACATTCATTGATTATGTAGGCATATAGTGAATTACTAGCAGGTTATCATAAGATAAATCTGTTTAGTTTGTTTTCAGTTCTTTCAGCCTTATGATTTAATTAAAAATCAGCTGCTGCAATATTTTACTCCTATAATTTTAGCTTTTTCTGTATTGTCTTTAGTTTTCAATGTAAGTTCCCCTACTTAAAGAATACCAGAAGCATTGCTTTTTATTCCTTTACCACAGATCCGTATAAGACAGCCCAATATTGTTCATATGCTCATTAAACTAGATGCCTAAGTCACTTTATATTTGTGTGCATCTTTGTGTATACATATGTGTGCTTTGGGGTGTTTTTGGTTTTGACACTGTTGACTATGGTGACTTCTAGATTTCAGGGAACCAGCGATTTTCACAATTTGTCATCTCAGAATCTTTGTCACTATATTGTCTCTCTTACCCATCTACCCCCGAGTAGAAGAGAAATTTATTTGCTCTCTGACTTATACTCTATCATGTGTGCCAGGTCTTTAGAGAGACTTAACAATACCTGTGAGTTTTAAATATATGTTAAAAATAAAATTTACCTGATTCAGCTGCCCCTTCACACTATTCTTCTGTTTTCATACGGTTTCAGTATTTTTGAAGACATGTCCTGCCTTCTTTTTTATTTCCTTTCTACTATCAGAACTGTATGCTTGATCACCTATAATTTTCTTCTTACCAAGCCCATTGACCTTGGCTCATCCTTATCTTGAGCTCTGCTTTATTTAGTAATGTCAACAGCTCCATCCTCAAAACTCTTCCTTCACTGACTTTTATAATTTATCTGAACTTCCTGATGCCTTGAGCAGTATCTCAAACACCCACAACCCCATTTTTGGTCTCCTCCTTTGGCTTTTATGATTATCCGAGGTTGTTGTTGTTGTTGTTGTATGTGTGCATGTGTGTGTGTGTGTGTGTGTGTGTGTGAGAGAGAGAGAGAGAGAGAGAGGAGAGAGATATGGGGTCTCACAAATTGCCCGGGCTAGAGTGCAGTGGCACGATCTCAGCTCACTGCAACCTTTGCCTCCCAGGTTCAAGCGATTCTCCTGTCTCAGCCTCCCAAGTAACTGGGTTTACAGATGCCCACCACGCACCACGCTGGTTGATTTTTTGTATTTTTAGTAGAGAAAGAGTTTCACCATGTTGGCCAGGTTGGTCTCAAACTCCTGACTGTGTGAGCCACGTGCCTGGCCTCCAAGTTTTCTATGATGTCTGAGAGCATTATGTATAATGCTTTCTGAGCACTCTTTTTGTTTTTTTTTTGGGGGGGGGTATCCTTCCACTCCCACATTGTAATAAAACATGTACACATTCACCTTGAAGCAATTACATACATCTTATCTATATCCCATGCCGTACTAAAGCTGCTTTCTTTAGGCTAAGCACAGTAGCTCACACATGTAATCCCAGCACTTGGGGAGGCCAAGGAGGATGGATCACTTGAGCTCAAAAGTTTCAGACCAGCCTGGGCAACATGGTAAAACCTCATCTCAAGAAAAAATACAAAACTTAGCCAGGTGTGGTGGTACATGCCTATAGTCCCAGCTACTTGGGAGGATGGCTTGAGCCCAGGATGTGGAAGTTTGCAATTAGCTGAGATCATGCCACTGTACTCTAGCCTGGATGACAGAACCAGAACTGGTCTCAAAAAAAAAACAAATCTGCTCTCTTTAGGGCCTTACTTAAGTGCTAATCATGTCTTGCCTATTTTATGAGTAAATGACATATCTTCTCAAATAAATTACATATCCCAAAGCAATTGTTACTTTATCCTATACTACTTTGATGTATTTTTTAATACCTAAGCATTGTGTGTGGTAGAGAAAATAATCACTGAAATATCACTAAAAATAATTATTGTATTCTGGCTGGACATGGTGGTTCACATCTGTGATCCTAGCACTTTGGGAGGCCAAGTTGAGCCCAGGAGTTCCAGACCAACCTGGGCAACTTAGTAAGACCCTATGTCTACCAAAAAAACAGTTAGCCAAGTGTGGTAGCATGCGCCTGTAGTCCTAGAGACTTGGGAAGCTGAGGTGGGAGGATTGCTTGAGCCCAGGAGTTGGAGGCTGCAAGTAAGCTATGATTGTACCACTGCATTCCAGCATAGGCAACAGAGTAAGACCCTCTAAAAATAATAATAATAATAATTGCATTTCCTTTCTTTTTAGATTCTTCTTTAGAACTCTTCCTTCTCATCCACAATTTGGATAGCCAGATGTTGAGAGGAGAGAAGAGCCAGCAAATCATTGGTCAGTTGTCATCTTTGCATAACATTTACCTTATAGCATCCATTGACCACCTCAATGCTCCTCTCAGTAAGTTGAATGTTACTATTTTTCCTTCTAGAGATAATCAGTCTTACAAAACCCAAAATTTGTAAATCCCAAAGTTGTACTGTTTTTAGTATGCTTTATCCCCTATTACACATTTTAAAACACAGGTTGCCAAAAAGGTGTACTCAATCTAATTTAGAACATAATTTTTGGAAATAAAAATTCAGATACTAAATGAGGATATTTTAGTCTAAAGTTAAATGGAGGGAAGAGACACAACTTATTTTGGTCTCTTTCTCTTTTTGTAATATTGCAACATTTATTTTATGAATTGAATTCACAGACTTTCTGATAATCCTGTGGAAGAAAATGTTAAAACATTATTAATATTTTAAAAAGAATGCATTGGTAGTGCTTTTAATTTATGCTTAATGTAAAAATAAAGGTTCAGATGTTGATTGAAAATGAAATTAGATTGTGAGTTACTGATTTAGATACGGAAGTGGCAAAAATGAAAAACCTAGGGATTTATTTTTATTTAATTCTTTCTCATTCTTTTGTAAAGTGGAATCTAGTAACATGACAATATGAAAATAATTTGTAATTCTTGCTTTCTTTGTTCATGTGTTAGTGTGGGATCATGCAAAGCAGAGTCTTTTTAACTGGCTCTGGTATGAAACTACTACATATAGTCCTTATACTGAAGAAACCTCCTATGAGAACTCTCTTCTAGTGAAACAGTCTGGATCCCTGCCACTTAGCTCCCTGACTCATGTCTTACGAAGCCTTACCCCTAACGCAAGGTAAGGATGAAAACCATATTTCTTTTTAAAAAACTATACATTTTAAGATATGCACTACTAGGTTTTAATGATGATACTGAAGTCTCTAGTTAATTTGAAGGATTAAGAGAAATTATAGTAATAATAGTTACCAATACTAGTTACCAGTACTGGATATATGCAATAGGCAGACAAGTCAACAGTAGTCTATCAAATTGCCCAGTAATAAAGCAAGAGTACCAACTTTTTATTTCTTAATATATTTTGATATTTCTGAATAGGAACACCTGAGTGGTCATAATGGAGAAAAACCAGACTTTTCATGGCTTTTACTTAAATTTTATGGCTAAATTTTTCATTACATATTGAACATTCTGATCCAAACACTGAGCACTTTATATGCAATACCTCATTTGATCCTCATCACAAAGGTGGATAGTCAATGGCACAAAGACTTTGATTCAGATATGCCCAGCTCCAAAAATCATGCTCTTAAACATTACTGTATAGTATCTCCAGTCAATTCCTTACAGCAGCCTAACCAAGAGGCATATGTGAATTAATAAATGCAAGCTGGTTATAGCATAAGCTAGCAAAAAATAAATTGCATAATTAGCTAAACACAGTGGCTTACTCCTTTAATACCAGCACTTTGGGAGGCTGAGGCAGGGTCTTGATGTCAGGAGTTTGAGACCAGCGTGGCTAACATGGTGAAACCACATCTCTACTAAAAATACAAAGTTATAATCATATTTTGGATCATCTCAATGAACGCTTTTTTTTTTAGTAGAGATGCAGTTAACAGTTATTTTTAACCTAAAATTGGAAATAATGTAAACATCCAAACCAATAGGGAAGTGGTAAGTTTCTGGTACATGGTAGATAAACAGCTGTTAAAACTTCCTTAGTTCTTACATGTGGCAAAAAAAAAGAAAAACTTAGCCAGGTGTGGTGGCATGCCTCTGTAGTCCCAGCTACTACTCAAGAGGCTGAGGCCAGAGAATTGCTTGAACCCAGGAAGCAGAGGTTGCATTGAGCTGAGATTGTACCACTACACTCCAGCCTGGGTGACAGAGCAAGACTCTGTCTCAAAAAAAAAGAAAGAAATTGCATAATTACCCTGTTGAAAGAAGCTTTTAGTAACAAACCTTACCAAAAACATAAAATTATAGAATTATATTTAACAAGATGAAGTGTTGAAAAATAGCAAACCTTGCTGAGAATTGATCATTAGGAAAACCTTATAGTAATTGTTTTCTGGACTTGCATAAAAATGAAAATGCATAAGTTTTTGGCATACCCAAGGACTGATGGGAATCTTAGTTTGTGTTACACTGCTTCCAACCCCATAATTTTACTTGGTTCACTCTCCTATGGAAATAACTCAAAATATGAAGAACCAGGTAGTTTTATTTAGAGCAGAATTTTTTCTGCATCCAGTCATCCATTAAGAGTTATTTTTAATCTAAAGTTAGAAATAATGTAAACATTCAAACCAATAGGGAAATGGTAAGTTTATGGTACATGATACACAAGCAGCTGTTAAAACTTCCTTAGTTCTTCTTACATGTAGCAAAAAAAATAGAAAAGAAAACTTTGTTTAGGAGAAGTTTTTTAAAGCCATGAGAAAAATCAAAAAGTGAAGAAGCAAGGTATAAAGTGGTACATGCAGTATATAAATGTATGAATTCATGTTATTTCCACCTGCCTCATTCCACGAAGATTTGAGATAGCAGCATACCCAGTAGGATCTCAACACCAAGTGCTAATGGCTGTTATCTTAGGGATATGAGATTGATATTTTTATCTTTAGATGTTATTCTGTATTCCAAGTTTTCCACCAAGACTAACCTAAAAAGAAAAAAAATACTTTCATATTTTATTTTTATTTTTGAGACAGGGTGTTGCTCAGATATAGCCTCAAGCTCCCAGGCTCAAGTAATCTTTGCTCCTCAGCCTCCCGAATAGCTGAGACCATGGTGTGTACCACTATGCCTGGCTAATTTTTAAATTTTTTGTAGAGACAAGAGTCTCACTATGTTGCCCCGGGTGGTCTCAAACTCCTGGCTCAAGCAGTCCTCCCACTTCAGTCTTCCAGAGTGCTGGGATTATAGGCGTGAGCCACCACATTCAGCCTATATTTTTCTTTAGAAGAAATAAAAAACCTTTAAGTAGGCAAGGATATGATATTCCTTGGAGGAACAGAAGATAATGCAGATAGGCTAAATATTTGACATTTTCCTTGTATATTTTACTATTAGTTGTTGCCTTTTGATGTTAACATTTTGGATTTAAATTCCTGTTTTTGTTTTTTTAGGGGAATTTTCAGGCTACTAATAAAGTACCAGCTGGACAACCAGGATAACCCTTCTTACATTGGTACCCAATATTTATGACATTCAATTGCATAATTTTTGTTTTACTCCCATACCCCATACATTTCTTTTCTCTGGAATTTAATGACAGTACTGCAGTTTTTCATAACAGTGAGTAAGTGGTCATTTGGGTTGAGTATGTCTGCCACATAGCAAATTTTCAAGCAGCTCTGCAGATCCACTGCTGAGTGAGGTGTTTGCCAACATAAATTGGAAGACAAACCCAGCTTACTTTTAAAATTTTCTATGCTAAAAATGGATCTGTATCTGCCAATTACATGTTTTTCATATTCTAGGCATCTTAGGAGATTAACAAACATTTTAATAATTGTTCTGCTCTCATGACTTCCTCATTGCGTCTTTAAAAGTCCTGTCAATACTTGTTGACTGCTCTGGGATAACAAGCAAACAGCACTTATTATTCTGAGTTCTTTCATATGGGTGTTTATATATCAGATCATATAGTAAGTACTGATTTATGTTCATCTCCTTTCGAACTTGCCAGGCCTTTCTTTTCAAGATTTTTACCAGCAGTGTCGGGAGGCATTCCTCGTCAATAGTGATCTGACACTCCGGGCCCAGTTAACAGAATTTAGGGACCACAAGCTTATAAGAACAAAGAAGGTAAAACTCTGCTATTGTAGCATTTATGCCAGAAATAGTCCATATTATTTACTCAAGGACAAGTATACCTTTGACTCAGACCTGAGTTTGAAACTTAAGTTCCATGTTGGGTCACAGAGATTCATTTAGGCAAGTGCCATTTGAGTTTGGAGAAAGAGCCATGGTAGAAATACCCTGCTTCAGAGCAAACCAGAAAACTCCTTCTGTATTCTAGTCCAGCGTGATAGGCAATTAAAAATATGATGTGAGTCAAATAATTCTGTTCCTGTGTTTTTTCCCTCTTCCTCATTCATTATATGTTTTTTCCCTCTTCCTCGTTCATTTATTGAGTACTAACTACGTATCAGATTTGCAGTAAGTATTAGGATACAGTAGTAAGCAAAAACCTAACTGCTTTTCTTATGCAGCTTAAAGTCTAATGGGGGAGATGGACATTAGTCAAGTAATCACACACATAAAATTATAACTAAGGAAGTCCTATGATTAGAAGGTACATAGTTCTGAAAGAGTATATTTAAATAGGTGGATTTGACATAATTATGGATAGATATCAGAAGAGACCACTGAGCTGAGATCGAAAGGAAGACTAGAAGGCCAGGTGTGGTGGCTCACGCCTGTGATCTCAGCACTTTGGGAGACTGGGGTAGGTGGATCACTTGAGCCCAGGAGTTTAAGACCAGCCTGGAAACACAGTGAAACCCTGACTGTCAAAAACAAAAAAATGAGCTGGTTGTGGTGGCATGCATTTGTAGTCCCAGGCATGCTGCCCAGGGGGCTAAAGTGGGAGGATCAGTAGAGCCCAGGAGGTGAAGGCTATAGTGAGCCATGGTCACACCACTGCTCTCCAACCTGGGCAGCAGAATGAAACCCTGTTTCAAAAAGAACAACACACACACACACAACCTGGGCAACAAAATGAAACCTTGTTTCAAAAAGAAACACACGCACACATGGGCGTACACACACACACGCACACTCACACACAGCAACATTTTAGGGAAACAGATGATAAGCCCATGATCTTAGTCAGTTTAGACAACTCTATTTGAGGTTCCTTTGAGATTTCCAAATGGAAATTTCAACTATGCAGTTGGATACCTGGGACAAGAAACCAGAGGA